ACAATATCTATCATCACCCGCTCTCACAGGCAAGAAAACCTGTATGTCCTTCTGCTATCCACAAAGTGGCAGAATTGGTCAGTTTATAAATTTGGTGAGGTGGAAAAAAATCTCTCACAACTAAGGTCTGCTACTGCATAGGCTGGGTAAAAAGTAACAGTATCTAACAAGGTAAAGTATATGTCATAATAAAAGTTAAAAGTCTTGTTTACTAATATGCAGTCAGTGCAAGTGGGATTTTTCACTCACTGTATACAGCGATTATGTTTTAAAAACAATATTAAAAGTTGCTGTTTACAGCAGGATACAAAACCAGCAATAATTCAAGCATAATTTTGTAACTCTGAATTGTGCAGTTTCATGCTGAGGAAAATATCAATACCACAGCACAAAAGCTGACATATTCAAAATTAAACTGCTATCAATGCATTCAGTGGTCGATATGCAAAGCACTCACACTAAACAGTTCTATTTTTACGTTGTGATTCTGGTTCTTGTCTTTATGCTGTCACAAAGCAAGTAAACTGTTCCTTTTAGCATCAGAACATGGAATCTCAGCTCAGGAAGGATGCAAATCTTGGATAACTAAACAAATTTTTCATACTTGTACTTAAAGATGATTGGTTTGGGATTTGGTTTGCAGGAAAGGAGACTCAAATTTGTCATCCCATGCCACTTCTTTAATCAAGTCAGATTGTCACTTCACCCTCTCAAACTGGTTTTGTGAAAGTCCCTGGCTCATTAGTGACGTGTGTTTGACCTCTCACCTTAGATGACCACAATGTTTAATAGTTCCTGCGTGGCACGAAAACTAAAGCCAGATTGGATATTAATCTCACAACATGCTTTCAATATTTACTCTAAGAAGTGTTCACTATACTTATATCAGAGTTAATCTAGCCTAACATTAACATTTGCTACTAAGTTAAAACAACTGTGACATGAGACTTGCATTACATGTGAACATACAACAATTTTATTATGTGTAGGATACTTATACAGGTATGTAGACAACGACATTACACTGTGATTCACTGAAGAAATTTTGCAGAAGTAAAAAAACTAGGATACTAAATAAGTTCACCCTGAACTGCACATTCTGCAAAGAGGTACTACTTGTTTTTAACTTGCATGACAAGTCACACAAGCAACCACCCCCATGTAAGCATCATTATGCGCTTTTTTCCTGGCCCCTACACTGTGCTCCCCACAGTCAAGAAACAGTGGCCAAGCTTACTATGACATTGGTTTAATAGCTTCAAACTTCTGTTTGGTAACTAGAACATGAAGCAGCTGCAAAATCCACACAAACACAACAGTAATAAAGGCTAGAAAACATGCAAAAGCAGCTTGTTTAGCACTGTGCTTCTGACATCTGCCAGCGATTTTAACTAACAGATTTGTTCTACATGAAAAACTTCGTCAATCACCAGTTCAGAAGACTTGCTTCAAATTACTAACCATAACAAAAGGCAGTTGAGAGCTATGAATCTATTAAACAGGCAGTTTCTTACTTACAAGTACTCAAATCATTTAAAGATTCAACAGAAAACAGCATCTTTAAAGATTCTTGGCCACTACTTTAAGAAATGTTTTGCTGCCTCTCAGATTTGAGCAAGTTACCAAGACATTTTCCACAGCTCAGAACGAAGTCTGAAGGGGCACAGAATCATTTTAAAATAAAAAGCAACTCTTCCCACTCATCCCTGTTCTTAAAATTTAAGAGTAGAAAAGCAAGAATTCACAATGCTTTCGAGTCATATACAAGAGACAGCATTCTGAATCAGTTTACCAGTAATTTAATCCTCTATAATACACAAAATACTTAACACATGACAAGCATTTATAAACATGCTATGTCTGTTCACCATTGCCTGAAAGCAAGTTAGTCAAACCAGATTACCAACAGAAGAAAAATATGAAACCTAGAAATTGCATTGTTAAACACTGAACAGTAATTTTTCCCATAGGGCTAAAAGCAGGTAATTAGAGCTGGTAAAATGCTGTGCCAGGAAAATACAGAATTCATTACCAAGTCACAGTCTTTTTTTTTTTTTTTGGAGAGCTCAAAGATAGTTTAAGACTAGAATATCCTTTGATCTGGGTAGCTAATTGCTACAGTTGGCTTTCTATGCTACAACCAACCTTCTAGTTCACCTCTAATTCTTACATATTAAACTCCAGTTTGGAAAAAAAAATCTGAATAAAAATTTGCCTATGACATGTTGAGCTCCACTCCTATAAAACAGGGAACAAATACTGCTTTTCTGCATGTCAACACACTTTCAGGTACTTCCAATCGAGTATATAATTTTAAAACTTTGCATCTACAGAGTCCTAGAGTAAATGCTGATAACTGGAATACTTGCTTCAGTCACATAGTAAGATTTGGCTTCGCTTTCCCTCCAAGGACATTTTTTCCAGTTTGTTAACTTATTCTTTTACCCAAACTAATTTCCAAGATATTGATGTTCCCCACACAAGCTGGCAAATTAAAGTATCATTAGAGAAGATACTGCTACAAGGCTCTGTTGTAGTATTTAATATTTTAAGTAATTCCTGTTTGAGGAGTTAGTTATCCTTATGAGTAGATCTTAAACCTACAACATAAATTATTTAACAGATTTTCTAAAGTATCTAACAACTTGGCATTTGTGAATTGAGAAGACAGTTTTACTCATGAACACTCTTCTCAATAAACTTCGTACTTAATACACATCACAAAACTGACCCAAGCAAAGCCCATTAATTTCAAATTCACATAATGAAACCTAATAAGTTTGATATGCTAATTACCAAGAACTCTTAAAGACACCTACTTAGAATTATTCAACAGTCAACATGTGCAATTCTATAATGTTCAAAATAAAAATAATTACCTAGTAATAAGATTATTTTATAAAGCTTTGTTTTATAAACTAGTCAAAAGAAAACAATGTTTGAAAACAGGTAACAGTCATCTGGCATGACTTAAGTGGCTACGACAATATATGGTTCTGGGCTCTTAAGTGTTTCGGCTACTTCTACACGCTATTATAACTGATACTTTATACTTTAAAGTTACTAGAAGAAGCAGCTCTTGTCTCAAACTATACCTTCATCACTCTTGGTAACTATGGTGCACAGGGTTTCCTGGAAAAATCAGTACTCTGTCCAAAATTAGTAACAGATACAACCACTGAAGTGACATGAGTGACCCAGACTCCTTTCCACCCCTGTCCCTCTTTCTGGTAATATTACACACAGTTCAACTCCCTGTGACAGGTTTTGCTAGTGAGAACACAACATTTACGGGAAAAGGATGATTTAAAACTTTCACTCTGTTTAACCAAAGATATCCATGCATATAAGACTCTAAGCCAGTTTCCAACAGATTTGCACACAATCAGAATCACCTCCTCAGATACTTATTTTAAAGCATTAGTTAGAAACCAGTGTCCAAGTGTGGTTTCAGGCTGCAAATCTGAATTTTATATTGACATTTACGTAGGTGGTACAAGTAAGAGAAAAAAAAATCATTTAAGAATGAAGAGGGAAGGGAGAGAGAGAAAAATCACTTTGGATACACCACTGCATCGCCTATATTTGGACAATCCTCATTAAACTAGAGGTTCCGAATTGCCTTTCTGTCCATTTGACTTATATGCTGTATAAAGGAACACCTCCCTTGAGGCGGGGAATTTTGCTCTGTCAGAGCTTTCTGTTTTGGGCACAACAGTTTAGAATCACAGAATGCTTTGGGACTGAAGGGGCCATTAAAGATCATCTAGTTCCAACCCCGCTGCCATGGGCAGTGATATCTTCCACTAGACCAGGTTGTTCAAAGCCCCACACAACCTGGCCTTGAACATTGCCAGGGAGGGGGCAGCCATGACTTCTCTGGGCAACCTGTGCCAGCGTCTAAGAATTTCTTCCCTATAACTAAATCTAAATGTACCCTTTATCAGTTTAAAACTATTAACCCTTGTCCTGTTGCTACAGGCGCTGGTAAAAAGTTTACGTACAGTGATCATAGAAACAACCTCAAAAGGGACTTCGAATCACTTAGTCCTCTATCTCAATAAACCTCTGTAATCTGCATCTATGTTATTCCTGACAAATTTTTTTTATAACCTGCTCTTTAAAACCACAAAGTTACTCCATAATTCACCCGACAACCTGTTTAGCACTTTGTATGACATTACATTAGAAGATTTTATATAAATATTTAACTTACCTCTTTGTATTGCTACCCATTACTTGAAGCTTATTACCTCCGGCCCTATTCAACAGGGGTACGAGTCACAGATTATTCTGTGCTCTTGCTAGTATCCTTTGAGCTCCCCAAGCAGTCCTTCTCTAAAGCACACTGCTCAGAAGTAGACATAACATTCCAGTTGAGACTTTACCCATACTGGAAAATATGGGCTACTTCCCAAAAGCGAAGGACCACTTGTTATTAAAAAAAGAACATACTTTTTTTGCAGAAGTTTAATCAATTTACTTTTAGAAGTTTAATCTAAACTGTCTCCCTAGCTTGCTTACAATGCTGTTACTTGAGTTTCAAAATTGTTAGTCAAAATGCATGTTGTTTTCAGCTTCTCATACACACAGGAGCTCTAACACTGCAGAATTCCCACTTGTCATCAAGGGGTGAAAAACTTCCAATTAAAAAATTGAACTAGTTTTCCTGCTGTCTTGTTGGTGCACACACATACACCTTCTTTTGTTCCAAAATTCCCTTGAAGACATACATTGAAAGACTTCTATCCCTCCACATTTTAGATTGGAAAAATGATGTTCAGCAACGCAACACGCAAAGTGACATAGGAGTCATCTCACTTTATGTCACTATTCTCTCTACTCACAAGTAGTTTGGGCCCTAACAGCCTGCAACTCAAACCCAATGTAAACCCAGTTTCAATTATTTAACAAGTTATGAATTCGACTCCATTAATAAATCTGATCAATAGCACATAGCGTGATGTTGAGGGGCAAAGCAATAATAATGCAATCCTTACCGTTCTCGGTTAAATTTAAGTGAATGAAGAATAGCAGGTCTCTTCTGACGCAAGTTCCACAGATGTAACGTATCATCAGCCAAGCCACTCACAAGAGCTCCCTATGAGAAAGAAAAAGTTCTAGTCGATTTATTTTCATAGCCCTAGCAACAGTATATCATCATCATAGTGGAAACCTATCACATATTAGCTACCAGGATGAAAAAATACTTATAAGCATATGCATCAACACCACAGCACAGGTAAGTTCTAAATAGCAATAATGAGATAACTAATATGACCACATGCCATCCAGCTCACATTTGGTTCAGTGCCATACTGAGAGGTGGTGGGTAAGAAAAAGCTTTTTCCAGCATGTACACATCTGTTCCCTCATACCCACCTCTTTACAGAAATTAAGCAATGAACTCAACCGCTAATATCTATGTGCTGACAAAGCTAGTGAGGTCTGCCTTCACCATTCCTCTGAGCTAGACATCCCTCTAAAAATCTGGCCTCAGATAGCTCAAGAATAGCACTGTTGTCAAATCTCAGTTGCTACTCCCCTAGAAAAAACACACCTGAAATTACTGAGGGATCAGATCAGGGATCATTTCTCAGCTCACGTCTACAAAAGTAACTATTAAAATAAAATTAACTACCTACTAAAACTGCTAATACTATTGAAAATGTACTTTGCTACTCCAAGAGATAAAATGCAGTGTTCAATGACATGAACAGATATTCCTAGGAATAAAGTTCTTGCTTACTGCAAAAGAGTACTCTAGAGACAAAGATATTTTCAGCAGTTAGTCGAGCATTTTCTAAAGTGAAAACAGTTAATTTATTTATAATTATTAGTGTTTGCCATTTATGCCAGTCACTTGTCTTAACTATTTTTGATACTCGCTTAATGAGAAATTGAATAAAATACACTCTATCTTATCTGAATTATGAAATATATGCATCATTTTACTAACCTCATTAATCAGGAACTGAAGCTGGATTACTGCAGCTCCACTGTCATGTTGGCAGTAGCATTCAACTCCTGGCCGACCAAAACTGGAATTGGCACCATTAAGGAATAATTGTTGTATGTAACATAGGAAAAAAACCCCAAACACCATAACCAACATTGCCACTAACACCACATTCAACCAGGTTAACACCCTGCTTCTAGCTAGTGCACTCCACATATTTAAAATAGATCTGAGTGATCACCAAAACAATGGTTTATATACAACACAAAGTAACACAAAGAAGTTTAAATGCCCATCTTATTTATCCTCATGAAACACAAAAACTATGTGTAACTGCTAACTTCTAGTTATTTAAGGATTCTTCAACAAGAACGATGAAGCAGCTATTTTGGTAGTGTTAAATATAAGGACTAGTACAAAAGGAAGCTCATCTAAATAAGCATCATAATCAAATGATCACATTTTTGAAGTGCTAAAGGAGCTTTCTCTCCTTTTTAAACACTACATACAGATGAAAGAAGAGCTCAATAATGCAAGCCATCTTAAAAAAAATCTGCTGTGACAGAGATAAAAAGATCAGCAGCCAAAATATGAAGGAGTCAATGGGAAAGTACGTATAATCTAAATTTCCAGTATCTCTGTATCAAGACTTCCTGGATTCACACCAACTACGACATAACAAAAGCTTGCTCATTTTCCCTTTCACACATAAATCAGTCCCATACTTCCATAATGAATATCAAACAGAAGCAACAGCAATTCAGATTTTTTCAACTCTCTATACTTGATTCCTTTACTAGTTGCAAAGATTCTGTATTTCAGATGTGGTTATCCCCTTTCTTCTGATATGAAATTAAGGAAATTCTCCAACCTCTAGGAGACAAAGCAGAAAGAACACAAGTCCAGATGAATTATGCAAAATGGTCAGTAATTCATTACAGTATGCCCATGGTTTCTAGGGTATAATTTATCAGAGAGCTGAACACCTCTTGTTTCAAACAGGTACCTTAGTTTTTGGAAGAAAGGAATTCATTCCAAAGATATACGCAAAACAGGGAATATAACATACAATTTGTTCTCTCAGTATATACTAGAAATCAATAAAATAGTACAATTCTCACCCATTCCTCAAGTTTTCCATTTACTGAGAAGTGTTGATCAAAATCAAAGTGGAGGCAAACACTCTTAAAAAAAAAATGCATGTATTCACACTAGAGACCGTTGAAAGGCTGAAGAGACTATTAGGTTGCACGCAAATCAAAATTCAAACACACCTCCTGCTCAGCATCTAAACTGGCAGCATAAAATATAAGTAGAACTACAATGGGAACAAGTCTGCTTTAACACACTGCAATATTTTAACTTTTAAACTTTAACCATGATGTTCTCCTAGACTAATGAATCTGCATAACATCCAGCTAAGTGATGAGAAATATACTAAACAGATGTTGAATAATCCAGCAAACTTAATACCAGCATTCTTCCCCAAATAGAATCAGTAATTTAATTTTGTTCTTTGAAGGGCTTAAAGAGCCAGCTTGCCTCACCTGCTTTTTTCCCTTGTATTTTAAATTCTTGTCAATATGTTTCCCATACAAATAAGTCATCTGTGTTCCACTGACAGTTCAAAGCTCTTAGAAAAGAAAGTCAACTTAAAACTTTGGCATGGGGAGGTGTGGGGTGTTGTCCCCATAAATGATACCTTCCTACACAAACTCAGAATACTTTTAATGTAAAATTATTGCTTTTACATTAACTATGGATTGACTACACAAATTGCCAGACAGGAAAAAAAAATCCCCACAACGAACACCAGAAGTTTCACAGCACATTTGCTCCAGCCTTGCTCATGCTCCTGCATTCGCTTGAATTAAAAATTATTTGCAGAAATAGACTAAAAGCAATCTCCGAAAAGTGAAATTCAGATGTTTACAGGAACTGAATTTTAAAACTTGTTAGTTATTTATCTGCACCAACACAAGTAGGTTTCTAACAAAAGACGACTTCCCCAGCTCTTCCCCTGAACATCAGCTTCCAACTTTATTAAATATAACCCTTGTTCATTCACCCACCCACAGCTTATTTGGAATTAAGGCTTTACAGCTACCTTGCCTCAAAACACGAGGAGTATGACCCAGAAAAACAGAGAAGCCCATGGATTCCGCAAGTTACTCCAACCTTCAAATTCTATCCCTCAAATGTTTTCTTTAAGCACTTTTGATGCTAATATTTCTGGAAGCACTGTTATAACTAGTCAGTAAAAATTTCCATGTTAAGAATACTTGAATGTTTCTTTAAGCAAAAAATCCTTTTGCATTTTCCAGGACACCTGAACCAGTTCTTGCTCCAGAAATCACTAAATATGCAGCACTGGGAGTAAGTTCACACAAGCTTTAAATATTTAGAGCAAGTTTCTTCTTTTTGACAAAATAGTGGAAGCCTCATATGCAGAACTGAAAATAGAGTTTGGCCTCTTTTATAGTGCTTACAGTTAACAAAAAAAATAAAAATAGTCCTTGCAGCTAGTCCCATTTAGTTCCTTTACCCAAGGATGATGTCATCTTCACTTTTTCACCTAGTAGCTAAAATTATTCTTCTCATCTCAAATTAATATCATCCTCCTAACCAGCATTAATCTTCTTTTCTAAAGCAATGCAAAGCCTCCCAGTTTTGCAGGGTATGCTGAGTTGAAAAAGCACGTCACTTAAATACTGACTGTAGAAGGATAATAATACATGCCTGTTTCAGTACATGTTAAGCATTTCTCAACCACACAAAACAGGCAGCATCCCAGGGAATGCAGTTTGTTCAAATCCTCTATACTTGCGTATGTGAGCTTAAGGCAAGAGAGGCCACTGTACTAAGCAGTAATCATCTACCACACAGCAGCCCCCAAAACAGGCAAAAATTATAATGAATAATGACAAGATGGGCAAAGCATTTTAATTTTGTAGACAGGAAACTCTCTGCTGAAGACCTAGGGTAGCTCTAGAGGAAACAGTCTGCTCTAAGCAGTTTTCTAATCAAACACCCATCCCTGCTCCTCCACTTCCAAGTATTTCTTTCTACTATTCCTGCTTCGTCCTCTATTCCAGATATTAACAAATTGGATAAATCAATAGCTTCTTAGCTGTACCTTTGAATATTACTTCTGTGTTCCCCACTGCCACCAGGAAATTAACACAGGAAAACACTAGTATTGTCTTCACTGCATGTTTTTTGAAAAAGCAGGTAAGAGATAAAAGCTGTGGCTGAGAGAAGGAATAGATAATTCACTCGTGTCCTAACATCAGTGTTCATTTTCATAACTGCTAGAAGTGCAGGTCATACGTAAGAAAGGCACAGTATCATGCTAATTTAATATTGACTTCACTGATTTGTGAGAAAAGGCAACAGTTCCAAAAGATTTTTTTTTTTCCCCAAACAAGCTCCAGACCTATGCTTACACCTTTTGGCAGGAAAAATTAAGGCATTTCAGTTAGTGATATGCGAGTTCTCTGCAAAATTTTCTTTTTTTAAATTATTACTATTATTTATAGCTTATCTACATCAGAGCAGCTCAGTGTACATCTGCCCTTAGAAGTCACAGTTTGAACAAGAAAACTAATTCCAGAATATGTATGAAAACCTCAGAAGAACAGTCTTTTTTTTAATTCTTTAATACAAGTTACTGTAAGTAGACTGAGGGAATACGGGGGGCTTCTCCACCTGTGGTTGACCCATTTGACATAGGAGACAGTTGCAACAACTGTAGCTATCAATTTAATCCGCAGCATAAGTCAGTTATGTATACAGATACACATTTATAACATTTCCAAACTATCACCACACAGATATTTGTATCTTCCTGCCATTACACTGCTATAAAAAGTTTTTATAGTACGGCACAAGCTATGGACCATGTTCCTGTATCAGATTTGCCACTGCTACACTAGCTCAAGATTTTTAAGGCAATCTGAAACTGCAGCAGCTTTTAAAATTCACTCCTAGAGATACTTCTCAAAACTGTAGCTGTAACACCTCACAGTGCTTAAATGTTTGACAATTTTGATGCAAGAAATAGATCTCTGACTAGCGGAAAACACATACAACTGATCTGAATTACATACAAAACACTAAGGACAGCAGATCACACAGTATTCTTATGTATACCAGTCTGCAGCATATCGCTCTCCAGGACTGCGTACTGTACTTGCTTATTTTACTACAGTCATTGCTCTGCAGCTGTTCTCCACTTTACTTAATCAGACTGAATTATTTTTATAGGCAAACCCACCACTTATTTTGCATGCACTTTTGTATGTACTTTGATTGTGGTCCCCAAAGTTATCCTAACATAGAAAAAACGCACAATGATGGTGAGATCTCCAAACAGTATTTTAAGTATATAAAGATTAAAAGTCTATCTGGTACTACTCACTGTTGCCAAGTCTGGATACAATCCAACAACAAACAAAAACCCAAGACTTGGATTACGTCATTACAGAGTACCACAAATTCCTGGTGACACATCTGAGCAGGACTAAAGCAGTACAAGAACAGCTTCACTCAACTTTCCTAACGGTTTGTCAATTTTACCTGCACCTAGACTTTATTAGTACTATTACTTACACATACAAAAGCATGATCTGTCACAGAAACAATCTCATAAAGAACAATATCAAGACAGACAGGTATTTAGCAAGAGTGTGTTATTCAAGAAGTTGGAAAGTGCTACAGTCACTGTCTACAAAACCAAGTCTGATCTTTCATGTCCATGTATTACTAACAAGAAAAAATAAAAATCCACAAAATACTTTTGGGAGAGTTTTAGACTCCATACCAATCCTGATATGGTATCATATCATCAGTTTTCAACAACTTTAGGATTATAGAGTTTTCTTCTAAAGCTTCAGGCCTGCATAGGATCGTGCTGTGTTTATATCACTCAGCTAAGTGGGTCTTCATTCCTCCCAATGTCTCAGTATTTATGTCTGCAAAAGTATACAATAATATTTGTTAACAGTTCAGATCCACTCTCCTATACATAAGTAATAGCCCCAAGCAAAAAGAAACTAAGGCTTTAAAACTGAGATTAGAGTT